GGTGCCAGTTTTTACGCAGGGAGAAGTCGACTTTTATTTTTATAATTGCCAAAAAATATAAAAAGGAAGAGTATTTTTGTATTTTATTACATATCCATGCAAGAGTAAAGTTAAATCTGAGAATAAACAATTGTGCTCTTATGAGTATTTCCATGGATCAATAAAAATCATTCTGGAAATTTAATAATGTTTACTCTTCATACATCATCTCTTGTTTTATTTTACTTAGCACTTTTCCCAAGTTAAGCATAGGCTTTTGTCTTATTTAATCAATTGCTCATTTGAAGATGCCTAATTCAAGTTATAAAAGAGTCTCCAATAGCTTGAATGTCAATTCCACAATCCGACGCTAGGAATTGTCATAACTACTCTACCGAAGGACTTCGGGCAAGGTGTGTCTAACTAGTTTGCCTTGGCAGTAGGACCAAGTTGCGAAAACTATGCCAAACAACTGCTATACAATGAAAGGAGGCTGCGACCAAAGCAAAGGCCTCCGCCTCTATCAATCACTTTTTTTACTTGAGCGAGTATTTACCTGAGCAAGAAATCCATATTCGGGAGTGATGATTGCAGCTGCAGACTAAATGTATCATCAAGCAGTCTTCAAACATCGCTTACAAATAAATTATTTGCGCTCTTAAAAACTTTACCTGAAAGAGCTGTATTTGATGAAGAAAATAATGCAAAGTACAGTTGACGGAACTCTACAAACCTGAAGGAAGTCCTGGCCGATTTGTGAACAGGTGAATGAAAGGCGATTCCCCATGCAGCCGAATACCCTATAAGAGATTCAACAAGACTGATTAAAATAAAGCTGATTAACGATACTTTGAAAGATATAAATAGTATGTAGAGGATAGTCGAAATGTAGAGCAACTAGAATTGGGTCTCTTGTAAGGAGAATTTCGGACCATTAAACCATCAAATGCTCTACTCCAGCACACATCCGGAATTTCTATAAACCTTTTAGTGGATGCGACATAACGTCTGTAGTACCCATTGGGCTAACATAATGTTACATATTATCTCTCTCTATCTATCTATCTATCTATCTATCTATCTATCTATCTATCTCTCTTCGTCATGACGACCAAAAGCAAGAAGTGATAATGCTCTACCATATTCTCTTGACACATTCATAGGTATAGAAGTAAACTTGTGTCCCTACACGAATATGTGAATTGAAGTTGGGTTCTGAAGAATCCTTCAGTTTGTAATGGTTGAACTCACTTACGTTTCGAGTGGAGGTTAGTGATGAAGAGATTCGAAGGTCTATCCCACCACTTTATTCTTCACCCAAAAGCATAGATATGGGGTATATATGCAAAAGTTAGAGATAAACGATTGAGTATTCTTGCTCCGAAAGCCTGAGTATGGTTGTGGGAACGATGAACTTCGTACATTTTAATCGGAATCGAATGAGAGTGCTGCCTCAGGGACAGTGTCAACAAGAAGGCTCCAGTAAAGCCAATCGACAGCTGGCCAAAAGCAATCCGTAGTTGTCTTCTGGTGGCATCGACATTCGGTTCTCTTCATCCTACACAAATAGCTTTCACGTGAGATTAATTGGGAAATTACAATATTGGCTACATCTGTGTTGCCAGGGTAGTGATGGTGGATGCTAAAAGACTATTCGGAAGATGTCTGAAATAACAGACGGCGCTTTGGGCCAAACATACCTCTCCATCATAAGACGAGTCTTCACTTTACGCGCTAGCGAACGGAATGTCGGTCGCTCATGGTGATGCTGCCGTAGGTCCAGGAACCCAGAGTTCTTCGTGAAGGTTACCTCGAGCCAATCGCGAACTTCACCTGTGCCTGAGGCGACTCCAGTTCGGGAGCCTCGCAAAGTTTCGAGAGCGTCACCGCTCCTCGATCTGGCCCCTGTTGGTGACTCGAACTCGGACATACAGAGATCTCGGTTGTAAAGTTCTCTATGAAAGTAAAGGCGGAATAGGCGTTATGAAGGCTCAATAATGGTGGGTCCATAGAGTATGGTGTAGGGTAGAATAAATGCAAGGCATTGTTGAGGGCTTTCGATGACGCAAGATGATAATGCTACAGATGGAGTAAATTCGTTTCCATGTAAATGAAGGAATTCGTGAATTGGTCACGCGAAATAGACTACGCCCTATTGCTTAGGCAGTGTAAGGTTTTCAGGGTTTTGTGCCTAAGGAATGCCTTGTATTGTTTTAAAAGAATGTGAATCTTCGGATCAGACACATCATAATCATCTTACGAGTGGACTCTAACTGTGTAACAGTACAAAGAAGAATAGTTTATAAATGGGTTGACCTCGCGC